TCATTAATAATTCACATTTTTTCAAAAGGTGTGAAAATGAGCCAAAATTGACCAAAACCATGGGCTATAGTCCATGGTTTTTGCCCAAAATTGGCCAAAAATGACCTGTTTTGCATCCTTTATAAATAATTCATATTTTTTGAAAAGGTGAGAAAATAGGTTATAATCGACCAAAACCATGGGCTATAGTCCATGCTTTTTGCCCCAAAATGCCCAAAAATACCATTATTTTCATGTCTCATTAATAATTCACATTTTTTCAAAAGGTGTGAAAATGAGCCAAAATCGACCAAAACCATGGCCTATAGTCCATGGTTTTTGCCCAAAAATGGCCAAAAATGAACTGTTTTGCATTCTTCATGAATAATGCATATTTTTTGAAAAGGTGTGAAAATAGACCAAAAGCGTGGACTGTATTCAGACAAAAAAAGAGCTATTTAGCATTTTGCATTCATGAAACTTGAGCAATGGGTTTTTTTTGGTCAAAAAACATGGAATATAGCCCACGGTTTTGATATAGGGGTGGATGGATGATTTTTTAAAGGACGACTGTGAAACTTAGTGAAAGTTCTTCCTCACAAATTTTTGTAGTTTTATCAACTAGTTTTTATTTGTGAAAGAGTGTTTGAGAAGGGGGTGTGAAAGGGTTGCTGTCATAGGATTGGTTTCTAATGGTTCAGTGATTTGTTACACCTCTGTCATTTGATGGACAAGGAGATATAACTAGCTAAAAACTAGTGTGAGCTGCGTCTGTGTTTCTAATGAAACAGTAATGATAAAAAGGCAAATTATACACCGTGAAAAGATGACATTTCGGATGCTAGTCCTTCATCGGAATAAAAGAGAAAGACTCCGATGAAGGACTAGCGTCCGAGACGTGAGTAAGTCTTTTCATCTTTTCACGGTGTATAATTTACCCTTCATCATTATTGATGGACAAGGAAGTAAGTGATTTTATTTTCTCTTTTGAACAATGGATGAATAATTGTTTCATGTTATAATTTATCAAAAAATGGCATATCTGTCTTAGTATGTTGTCTTGTCTAAATAGAAATATTCGTAAATAAAAATCATTTGAAAGATAATTGTCCTGGAGTGATTAATTTGAGTGTGATTAATTTTAACACTCTGATGGATTTGCTACTCGCCAAGTATAAATTGAGCAAGAATCTGCTCATTTTTGTCGTAAGGGATTGACCATTAGATAATTGATGGGGAATGCAGGAATCTTGGTTGCATGATATTTGCCTTTTTGGCTCAACCCTTGCACGTTATTTTTTTGCATACAGTTAGATATTTTTCTTCTAGCAGAAGAGGTTGCTTGATATATATTTTGGGATTTACGCAACCCCCCATCAACTATCTAATGGTCTGTCCCTAAAGATTGTACAGAGTGTTTTCCTGTGACGTCACAGTTGCCATGTTGGTGTACCCAAAACAATACATTATCTATCCTCCAGGATTTGATGTCTATTTTTATTTCAAAATGAACATCAATATGACAGGAAAACACTCTATACAATCTACACGGTGGTTTTCATTCCTAATGTTTTTTAACAGGCAGTCCAAGCTTTGTACTTCTGCACTTGGTTACACAAGAACATTGCTTAAGCTGCCTGTGGTCCATTAAAGACACTCTCAATTCAGTCTCTTACATAGCCAGTCTCGCTCCTTTTCGTCTCTTTCTCAGCAGATGATTGACAGATGATATTAACCAACCTTGTGTTAGAGATAACCAAAATGATTGCTGGCTCCAAAATATGCATCATGCAAAGGAAGATGCACATGTTCTAAAGATAAGGTCAACAGCATCAAACTCCTATCGACATTGATGCTTAAAATAAAAATACCTTGCTTGAAGAGGCCTTTTTCTCACCTCTGTTCTGGCCAGGGGCAGATTCAGGAAGTTTTGAAGGTAGAGGGGGGGAAAAGACTGTTTTAAAGACATATAGAGAAAAGGAGGGGGGGTGACTAGTCACCTATTTAACCACCCCTAGATCAGCCCCTGCTGGTTGCTGGAAAGTAGGGGAAGAAAAACAACCTCTGTTCGCATGGTAAATAAAATTTTTTTCTTCAAAACCAGGAAAAACTCTGGCAATAAAAATTAATCAGATAAACAATTTTGAAACAGAAAAGAAGGCGAAGATTGGCATCAACTCAAGCGCAAATTAAAAATTTCAACATTTTAAATCGTGTCTGCCACTTTGCCGGCAATTTTTAAAACATGTGCAGTACATAAACCTCTGCTACGCTCTCAACCCCAAAGCCCTTTCATTCTAGATACACAAGCTTGATAATTTTGAGCATGCGTGATGAGAATGGCAGTAATCTTGGGTCGAGAGTAGCTCTACTTGAACACTGATGCTCAGTATCATTTCTCTAGCTCATTACTGTGTTCTGTCAATTTTCATCATAACACCTTGGTATCTGAGTCATAATTATTTTCGTCAAGCTGTTCCAGGACTTTAGTGTGAGCAGCATGTTGTTTGTGCCATAAATGTGCGTATAAAGTGTTAGGGTCTGTGATCAGTGAGTAGTGGTTGCCCTTCTCTCGGATCTTGCCATCCTCGAGCACAAGAATCTCATCCGCGTCGATGACTGTTGACAAGCGATGAGCAATAAAAATTGAAGTACGGCCTTGGGTGACTCTTCGTAGTGCACTTAAGATGTTCTGAGGAAAGAAAGAAAAAGTATTAGCAATAGCATGAGTGCCGCAACTCAAAGAACAGCAGTTAATACCACCACAACAACAGCAGCAACAACATTAACAGCAAACCAGAAATAACAGCTGCAGCAATAGCAACGATAACAGCAGCGACAACAGCAACAGCAATATCAACAACAGCAGTGGCAACAGCAGTAGCAGCAACAAGAAGAACAGCAACAACCACAACAGCAAGCAACCACACCAGCAGGAATATCGAAAACAGTAGTGGTAACAGCAGCAGCAGCAGTAACAACAATAGCAGCAGCAGCGACAACAACAACAGCAATGTCAAAAACAGCAGTGGCAACAGCAGTGGTAACAGCAGCAGCAGCAACAACAGCAGCAGCAAAAACAACTTTTAACAAAAAATAAAAATAAAAGAATAACAGGAATGAGCAGAGGGACATTTTAGTCCAACGTACACATACCATTTCAGTAATAGAATCCAAAGACGAAGTAGCTTCATCATAGATCAATATTGGTGGGTCCTTGATGATGGCTCTTGCAATAGCAATTCTCTGTTTTTCACCTCCAGATAACTTGAGTCCGCGCTCCCCAACATGTGTACTATAACCTTTAGGCATGTGCAGTATAGCATCATGGATCTCGGCCATACTTGCTGCTTGGTAAACCTCTTCAGCTGTTGCTTCAATGCGTCCGTAGTTGATGTTATAGAAGACGTCATTGTGAAACAACACCGATTCCTAAACAAAGGATGCAATCATTTGGGCCACAATTTTTGGACCAATTTTGTTCCTGTTACCCCTTCCACTACTCAAATTCCCCTCCCATCCCATCCTATCCCATCCCATCTCACCTCTCAAAATATCATTGTGAAACAATACCAATCCTAAAGAAGGGATGTAATATTTAGGCCATACTTTTGTGACAATTCTCCACACCTACCCCTCCCCTCCAATTTGCCCCTCACTAACCCACACCTCAAAAAATCTTACAAAATCTCTAACCAAATTTTTTTGTCTTGATCTCATCCCCTCCCCCTCCCCCTCCCCCTCCCACTCCTTAAATTTGCCCCTCCTATCTCACCCCCTTCAACCCTTTAAATTATCATTACGAAACAATACCAATCCTAAACAAAGGATGTAATGATTTAGGCCCCACTTTTGGGACAATGCTTCCTACCTACCCCTACAGTCTGCTCCTTCCTGCCCATCCCATCAAAAACTCTTTAGAAACATCTCTAGCGACTGTATTACCTGGGGACCCCCTTCCCTACAGTCTGCCCCTCCCTACCCCTCCCATCAAAAACTCTTTAGAAACATCTCTAGCGACTGTCTTACCTGTGGCACGACACCAATGATTTTTCTTAAGCTTTCTACTGAAACATCTTGAATGTCTTTACCAGAGACCAAAATGCGCCCTTCTATAGGATCAAAAAATCTGAACAGGAGTCGTACAATGGTAGACTTGCTGGAGAGAAAGAGAGTAAGCCTTGATAAGTTTGTAAAGCAGTCATTAGAGCAAGCTAGTTTTGGCATGTCCGATGCAAGGCTTCTTGGTGTCTTATTTAGAGAAGCCTGCAGGGCGTGTGCTGCAAATGTGCTTCCTCTCAACACTCACTATGTCTGTGACACAGATTTGTGCTTTCAGGGGTTTTTCTTAGGTTTTCCCACAGGGAGCCCAATTTAAGAACATGCGTAATAAGTAAATTACGAGCCTTAGATGAGCCCAATTTAGATTAGAGTGAATGATGGAAATAAATTAAATCGGAAAAATTAAATGATTAATTAGTTTTTCAAATCAAGTCAAGATAATGTCCTTGGTAATACGAATGAGTAAAAAAATCCCTAAGTAATGCACTAGAAATTTTTTTTTTTGTGCACTGCTTTGTTTTCCTATATAATTCTCCTATGGTATCTAATGTCACTCTTATGTAYATAATATACACTCTTTTGTATTACGAAGGACATTATATTGACCTTGAATTTAAAAAAATAATTAATTATTTGATTTTTCCAATTTTATGTTCACCATTCACTTTAATCTAAATTGGGCTCCCTGTGGTTTTCCTCCCTTGCCACAAGAACGACCTTTTTAAATTTCCATTCAATGATGTGAAGAGGACCACAGGTTTCTTAGTCCCTTTCTACAAGTGCTACCCTCATAAAAAAGGAATAAGTTTCTTATCCCGTTGGTACGAAAACATCAAGATAAATGTGTACTGTAAAACAAGAGCATATATAATAAAAAAGTCATGACAAGAACTTAAGTATACCCAGATCCACTGCCTCCAACGAGAGCGATCTTCTTGCCTGAAGGTACTTCAAATGATACCTTATCCAAGATCCTTTTCCCCGACAGGTATTCAAAACTGACATTGTCAAAGATGACATTAGAGTTGGGATCCCCAGCCTTGAGTAGAAGAGGATAGGCATTTGGCTTGTCCTGGGATGAAATATAATCAATAATAAAAAAAAATTTCCAAGTCTTTCAATTTGCAGCTGCATAAGTTGCTTCATGTACTGCGAGGATTAGCTCAATTTGATACATTACAACTGCAGTACAAATATATATTCCATATAAATCTCATACACATAAAATAAAAACATCCAAGTGAATGAAAGTCCTAAGGAACTACTATTCTGCTTGGTGCAAGAAGGAGACAGAAGCCTTTAAGGAGGGGAGTAGAGAGGACAAAATAGAGTTTGGAAGCTCCCACCCTAATAATTATTAGAAGTGTGTCTCCAAACGAAGAGAGGAAAAAGGGAGGGGTGGAAGGATAGCAGTAGGTTTTCCACGTCATTCAGGGTCGAAGAGAGAGTGGAAATTTTTTTCTTTCCTTTTTTTTAAAGTAGAGGAGAGATGATTTTCTCAAAAAAATATTTGTGCTCCAGGTGGAATTTCTTTCTGAGAAAAATTTGCTTGGAGAAACATATTTCATATCTTCAATAACTATCCAAGCACAAAAAAAACACATTAATACTTAGAGATGATCACCTTTATTGATGTCTTCAAGTTGTGAAGGTTAAACAAAGCTTCCATGTCAATCAAAGCTTGCCGCAGATCCCTGTACACTGAGCCCAGGAAGTTAAGCGGAACAGAGAGCTGGAAGAGCAGGCCATTGACCATCACAAGGTCACCTACTGTCATTGTACCTGAAGTGAAAGTCAACACAGTCAAGTACATGTTGTATCCCTTCAAGTTTTTCTGTAAAAAACTGAGTTTCTGATAGGGTTTGGAGGGCTAAAATGTAAAATAATGGCTGGACATCGAACAATGTCCGCCCAGAATTGGGACTTGTCCGGTCAAATCTCTGCCTTACAGGTCATTTTGACCAGTAGCCTTGAGCCAGAAATGAGGTATGAGTGAGCTAACACTAATTTGGCTGGTCAGTGACTTACCGGCTGTTAATTTAAGCCCTGTGTTTGGAGTTCCAACCTTTTGAGCTCAGTAATGAGCTCTAGCAACTGAGATAACAACCCGCAAGGTGTAGTAGTACATGTACATGGTATTTGTAATGGTGTCAGTTGCATACCCCAGGTCATTCAGGATGTACTTAGGAGAAATCAAGCCTCACCTTGCATCAGGTTATTGGTTTTTCCTCCCTCTGCTGATGTAGAAACCTTACCTTCCATTATCTGTTTGCTTGCAAGCAGCATGATGGCACTGAGTGATGCACTGAAGATGAAATTCTGCCCCCAGTTTAGGAATGCTAAGCTTGTTGTTGTCTTGAGAGAAGCTTCTTCATATTTGCCCAGAAGCTTGTCGTATCGATCTGCTTCAAATTTCTCATTGTTAAAGTACTGGAACAATTAAAAAAAAAAACAACATTGAAGATGGATTTGATTTAATCATAATTTATCATCACCGTAATGATTACTGCCATCATCATCATCACTACCAATACCAATATCATCACTATCATAATCATAATTATCATCACCATCATCATCATCACTACCAATACCAACATCATCACCATCATAATCATAATCATCATCACCCTCATCATCATCATCACCACTGTCATCACTATCATCGTCATCATCTTTATCATTACCATCATCATCATCCTCATCAACAAAATCATCAACATCACCATTACCATCATAACCATCATCATCATCATCACCATTATAAAATCATTATCATCATCATCACCACCATTGTAATATCATTATCACCATCATCATCGTCATCATCACCATTATCATCATCATCACCATCATCATCACCATTATAATTATCATCATAACCATTATGAGTGCTTCTTTACCTTTACTGTCTCATAGTTAATCAGGGAGTCAATAGCCTGTGCGCCAGACTCATTATCAGCTTTATTCATCTCTGATCTGAACTGCGTCCTGAAATATAGAAATATGTTATCAACTACTACAATATAAATATTAACCAAAACTACAAGTCATAAGGAAACAATACTCGAATCTCCTAACCTCCATTGAGTCACTCTTAATGTGAACACTGTATACACTCCAAGGCATCCGACGACAACGGCTGCAAATTCTGGTCCACATCGATATGCCTAGACCGAAATGATACCCTAGAATGAGTGCTTTATGTATCTATTACCATGTTGCTATGGCCATCTAGATTAACATTTTAACATGGGAATAGTTTAGACAACTTTTGTTTGACTAACATTATGACTGTGGGAAGTACAGGTGGCATAGCGGTGAGAGCGCTCGCCTCTCAACAATGCGACCCGAGTTCAAGTCCCGCTGGGTTTGGTGTTGTATATGAGTAGAGTTGTTTGTTGGTTCTCTCCTGCATGTGCTTTGAGGGTTTTCTGGGTTCTCCGATTTTCCTCCCTCCGCAAAAATCAACTCCTAAATTCCAATTCGAGCATGGAATGAGGGCCACAGGTTCGTTAGCCACTGGCTATTAAGTGTTACCCTTGTTATTTTGTCTTTTTTTACTATAACTAGGTTCTCCCCCCCCCCCCCCACCCCCAACTATTAAAATCAAATTTACTTATTTTCTTATAAACGCCATTCAAAATTCAAAAGTCCAAAAGAGGTTTGTTGGCTTTTATGTAGAAATGTTACTCAAACTGCCATCATGGTAACACACATCTTACTATAATACAGTAGCAGCTTCTGGATAGGACTGTTTAATGTGTACACCCCCCCTAGCTGATGGAGTATTCTGAAGTATGGAAGGGTCAAATGCTAGTAGACATTTGAAAAATTTAGAAGATACACCTAATTCAAAAAACATTGTCATCGCCAAAGGTGATAGGCAATAGGAGATAGGCGGAAAGCGAAAGGAGAGAGGTCCTTCCAAGGTCCAAGAATATAGCTGGAATGACTTGTGTTTCTGCTTCTTATTCTCGTCAGGAACATGGACCTTAGTGTTAAGACTGATTCAATGTTGTTTGTATTCAACGAAACGGCATTTCCATGTCGGAATGACCTATTGCCTATTGCCTTTAATGATGACAACGTTTTTTGAATTAGGTGTATAATAGTAGGAATAATGTGAAATCCTAGGAAGGAGTACTTTCCAAACTACTTTGTAGAGGGTAAAGAGTGGAAGGGATGATGTGTGAAGATGTTCTAAAGTAAGTTACCAAAATTCCAGAAACAAGTGAGACTTCAAATATGGTGGGTACAATGTTAAACACCAGGGCACTGAGTACAAAGTTGATTCCTCTGGAAGAAAAGGATAAGGGTAAAATATGAATAGTAAATGATGAAAATGATGATGATGATAATGAAGATGATGATAATGATGATGAAAATAAAGAGGATGATGATGATGATGTTTATGGTAACAATGATGATAATGAAGGTGATGATGATGGTGGCGATAATGATGGTGGCGATAATGATGGTGCTGATAATGATGGTTGTGATGATAGCAAAGATGATGATGATGATATTAAGATATTAATGATAATGATGGTGAATAGCGAACGGTGGTGATGGAGATGGTAACAATGATAATGGCAATAATGATCATCAAGGATGGTGATGGTTATGTTGATGATAGTGGTAATGATGATGATAATAATGATGATGATGATGATGGTGGTAATGATGATGATAATAATGATGATGATGATGGTAGTGATTGATGGGGACCATTTATCACTCTGACGAACAACTAATGACAGTCTAAAATGTCAGTATACGATTGCAATTGTTTTCGCACAACATTTAAGTTTCCTTCTTATTCTCAAGGTGATGATGATAACAAAAGAATCAATGATGATGATGACTCTAATCTTGTCAACTATTATTAGAATCAACATTTCACTCACCTTGTACCCCTATCAATAGCTCTAGACAAAGCACCGGTCTGTCTGTTCAGATGAAAAGTAAGGTCAAGATTATGAAGATGAAGAAAGGTTCGTCTGGCAACAGTACGTATAGAACCCTGTGCAACTTTAGCAAAGACTGCATTACGTAGCTCATTAAATAAAGATGAACTCATCCTGGCTAATCCATCTAAGAATGATAAAACAAAACAAAGATTAACACCCAGAAATGACTTAAATTTCCAGTAAGGCCCTGGCTAAACGAGGAAACAAGTTTTCAGAAACATGTTTTCTTAAATGTTTCCAAAAGTGGCAAAACTGTCAGGAAACATCGGGAAACATGTTTACTCAATATCGGTTAGTGCATGCGCACTTTCAAGACAGAGATAGCGTTGCTAATTAACGAACTTTTAGAATGTTGACTTTCGTGGCTAAATGAGGAAACATTGGGAAACATTGTTTCCATGCGTCTTGGAATCGTGAAATGTTTCTGCCGCACAGCATTGAGCATTCTGCACAATATCGAGACTAGAGCATTGACCCTTGCACAAAAAATTGTGCTTCACATTAATAAACATTTATTATTGTAACAGCTTCCCCTCATCCAAACAATGACTAATGTAATCTCTAAAGATTACTAAACACTGGCCTACTTACAAGCAAGAAGAATAGCAGTCGACGTTGTGGCCAGGAATCCTCCAGCAGTTGCTATGGTTGATGGGTCAAACTTGTTGAGGTAATCAATAGCATATTTGAAAAGGAATGGTACTTGGACGTTGATGACCTGAAGGAAAAGACTTCTACATTACTTTGTATGTTATTATAATTTACGACACTATCTGTCAACATTGTTATTATCATCATCAACATCAGTCATCATCATCATCACCATCATTAGTCATATTCACCATCATCACCATAGAGTCATCATCACCATCATCATGGATGAATATCACTGTCTTTATCAATCTTCATCATCATTATTATCACTCATTAACATCATCACTCATCATCTTCATCATCACTCAACATCATCACCATCATCATTGCCATCATCATTATATTATAGCTGTTATGCATAGCTACAAACCTTTGCTCCAACAAGAAGACAAACAGCTGCAACAACTCTAATCTTCAGGTCTCGTCGATCCTTTGGCCAAACATGTTTTAACATGCTTTTAAGAATCACAACTGAATTGGCGGAAATTTTCTTTTTTACACTGTCCTCAGTTACCCCTGTTCCACCACCATGGAAGTATCGAGTGACAGTTGCCAGGAAACCAGACTTTTTAAAAAATGGAATAAACTGCTTAGGAAGTTGAATGAAGCAGGTACAAGAATATTATGAGATCAACTMCCCACCCCTTGGAAAATCCAATCCCTCTCAGTGGGGGAGGTATGGATATTTTCTGGAACTATACAATATACCCTCCTCAGACCCTCCCCACCCCTTGGAAATTCCAATCCCCCTCTGAAGGGGAGGTATGGATATTTTCTGGAACCACACAATATACCCTCCTCAGACCCTCCCCACCCCTTGAAAATTCCAGTCCCCCTCTGTTAGGGAGGTATGGATATTTTCTGGAAATACACAATATATCCTCCTCAGACCCTCCCCACCCCTTGGAAATTCCAATCACCCTCTGTGGGGAAGGTATGGATATTTCCTGGTACTACACAATATACCCTCCTCAGACCCTCCCCACCACTTGGAAAACCTATTCCCTCTACATAAATACTTACTCTAGTCTCTTTGGTTTTTGGTGCTGGTTTTGGCTTGGGTAGATTCTTAGCACTGACAGATTTTGTTCTTGTTTGAATGAGACATGATCTCTGCAAATTTTATCCAAAAAATTATATACATGAGTGGACCGAGATTCACTATCTCAGAATGGCATAGAAGTGGAAATACAAGAGTGGAAGGCATGAATCAGGTAGAACAGAGAAATGGCAAAAAAAAAAAGGAAAAAAAGAAAGAAAGAGAGGAAGGAGAAAGAACAGGGAGAAGGAAGAGCCAGAAAAGAAGAAAAGAGAAACGGCCAAAAAGATAGCTAAGAGGAAGAAAAATGGCATAAAAAAAAAGCAAGCAAAAATATTTAACTGCCTGTCTCTACGCTCATAGGGAAGCAACGAGGGGAGACTTGATATGATGGCAGAAGAAGGGAGGCTGGCGCTGAGCACAAGCCTAAGGTACTGTGAATCCCAAATTCTAGCATTATGATTGGATGATGAGAGTATTCTGGGTCTCTGATTGGTTCAAAGTAAAATTCATTTGAGAACCACGACACTCTCGTTTTTAGTCACGCGAGATGAAGACTTGGTTCATTACGTAATGGTAAACTTTCGTTATCTTTATTAGCAGAAATAACGGATATTGAATTATAAAAAAATAAATATTCCTGGGAAAACACGTACCAGGCAAAACATAAAAACGAAAATTAAATCTTATACCAAAAACAAGACGCACAACCGACTAAAATAAAATATACATTTTCTTGAATCGATTTTCCACGAATTTTATTTTGTAAYTTCGTAACTTATTTTCTATTTTCTTTCAGCATACCTGAAAATAGGAAGCCCTGCTGGAGTACGTAGCTTTACACCATGGAGCGGTTCTGTAATTTGGTCCATAATATAGAAATGTTATGCTTTTATTGATGTTTAAGAATCCACAACAACTTCGACTGGCCGCCATTTTGTTCTTTCATCACGACCGTGAGGGTCCGAAAGACTGGTTCTAGTTTCAGTCTTCGCGCCTCAAAATTTATTAATTTATTAAAATATAATTATTATTATTAATTACTGGGTTGCTTGTGGAAGCCCAGTGGTAAAATGACTCAGGTTTATTTATTTTTATTTATTTATTTTTTCTCCATCTCGCGAAAAGTGCATTGTTGCGCAAGAGTGCCAATATATGGATTCGAATGACATAGTCAGTTCTGGTCTCAAAGATTGGCTTACCAGCTGAGGCTTTAAAATAAAAGCAAGATTTCTCTTTTGATTGAAATCAAATAAGTCATTACTTTATATATATTGCAACGTATTTGGGAATTCCAGGCAGCATTCGAGTTGTATCCAATGGCAACCATTTTGAATATATCAAAAATCATTCAATATAATGTTGTAACGGTTTTTAAACAAGTGATAAAATAATACGAGGTGAGTTTCTTTTGGGAAAAGGGAAAAAAGTATAAGTTTGATGTTTTTAAGTTTGTTTTTTTTTCTAATATAGGAAAAGAAATACTAGAACCGGAAGTGACGTCTATTTGATGAAGTTAATAGTATTGCGCATGTCTCAATGCTGTCATTTTCTAACTGGTTCCACGATGAGCTGAAGAACCTCGAGAAATTCTCAATTTTATCACTAAGTTTATCCCAAAATGTGGCTCTACAGACTTCTTCTAGGCTTTATACACTTTATTTTATATATTAGGTTCATAATATCAGCAATCGCGTTGAAAATACAGTTGTTAGCGACCGGTGTATTCGGTTCGCGTGGCACTTCATTGTCAGAGATTCATTTGCATTCGAAAAATTTCACCAAGCTCCCACTACACATTAGTTTTCTGGTATTAGAACCAGAAATAAGTTTTGAAGATGTGGCAAAACTTATCGTCTGGTCTATGGCTATGGGGATCTCATACATTAGTATATACGACAGAAAAGGTAAGAGAATTGTTTGTTTTTTTTCATTTTACTTTATACATCTTACTATCCTCATATGTATCTCTATAAATAGTGTCGAAAAGTTGTGGTTTTATTCAAAATATTTTTGTTTAAATCAAGGTGTTTTTAAAAAGAAGGCTGCGAAATTATCCACTGAAGTCATACACAAGCAGAAAGAGATTTTTAATGACGCAAAAGAGAGATATACTTTTGTCATTCGAACCAAGAGTACAAAGTTCGACCAGACGTTAGGTAAGAAACCTCACAAAACATACCGATAAAATCTAAGTTCCTTTCTAATATATCAGAAAATAAGGACTGTTATCTGCTTTGTCTTTGAGAAAAATATTTTCTTAATAAATTGGAGTTCAGGATTCAAGCAAAATACGTCTATACAAGTATTGATGTTGCATCATATGTAGAGCTCAGATTTCTCTTTTGTGGTAATCAACTTGGTCATTCCCTGAACAGAAATTTCAGGATTCTATAGTCCTTAAAAAGCCACAATTCCTAGATATATTATTAATTTTCTTATTCAAAGACCTTTGTATATTGATTCCTAAACATTGAGCAAATTAGTATAATAATTTTCTTCCATCATTCTGTACCCCATCCCTAACCCATAGCCTATGTATTGCTAGGCGACCTTGACCTTTTGTTGGGCTACTCTAGGTGGTCCGGGTTGTTCTAAGATATTTCCTGTGGATTATATTAGTTATAACTTTAAGAAGCCAACTCCACAGGGGATTTATTTTTTCCTGTAGAATCATGTGACATCCACTTTACGGAGTTTGATATTTAAAGTATAACTTTATGAAAAGATATTTCTCATTTGACCTCTTTGGAGGGTTATTGGACATTTAGTAGAGGAGTAGTTGGTGCAAATAGTGAATAATTCTCTAGTATTCATGCAGAAAAATGTTATGAACTCCTTGCGGACATTCCAAGCACAGCTCAATTTATAATTAGAGGATAAAACAATGAATTTTTAATTCTAAAAAGAGTAAAATGATATTGCTTTATCCTCTGAATAAATTTGCTCTGGGAATTGTTGCAAGAGTTCTCTATTGACAGAGTCTGCAACACATTTTATTTTTCATAATTACAGAAAGTTTTTCTTCAAGTCTGCCTTAAAATTTTACTGTGTGAATTATAGACTGTTCTCAAATCACATATTAGATGGTGTACACAGACACAGCTGTTTGCATGAAATGATGTACATTAGAATGACATCTTTGATAGATTATTAAAAAGAAGTAAAGGGGTTTAATCTTGAATTCATTTTCTGTATATGAAAAGGTTTATTTTATAACAAGAAAAAATTTTTCTATTTCACATAGATTTTTCATTTTAAATCTCTATGTATATCAATTTTAAAATATAAAATTGTTTGAAAACACCATCTTAAGCACAGTTTATAAAGGCAGGAGGCCATCGCCTCCCTTTCTTCTGTTAAACAAAGTGTTATTTTCTGAATTTCAGCTCCAAAACAAGTATGTATAAGCCTTCTTTCTGAGGCAGATGGAAAAGAAGATATCATAGAAGCAGCCCAAGATTTTTGTTTAGAAATTCAAAGAAAAGAAACTTTGCCTAAGCATATGAATGAAGATGTATTTGACCAAATGCTCAAAGGTATCTTTAGATACAGTAATAAATGAGGAGTTTCATGGAACGCTGCAGAGCAGAGTTTCATTGATAGGGTGGGGGATGTGTTTTCTGTTARGGAGGTAGCAGACTCACTGGGTGCATCCCACTTACTATTGTCCATAAATGCCTTGAACATGTAGGAAATGCCATTCCCTAAGGGCATAAATTTGAAAAAATATTGAGGGAAAGTCAGCTTCTCAACTACCAAAGAATAGCCCACTTCCAAGATATGCTTCGCTTGTCATGCACAAAGGTTTTTGTAAGAGACTACCTGCTAAATTGAATTAATTCTTTTATCCTGTCAAGAATCACTGAGCATTAAGCACGAATCCTTACATTGAAACCTTTGGGCATGTAAGCGAGGCATATCTCGGAAGTGAGCTATTTTGGGTCTTATGCATTATAGGTACATCCACCCCTCCCCTCCCCACCCAAATAAAATCCCAGATTGACAAATCCTACAATATAATTGGTTGTCACAACAAAGTAGAGTTTTAGTGGACATCAATCAAAGTGAAAGTGTTTCAATGACCTTGTCAGAAAATTTGAAATTTCAAGGGTATATGCCTAGTAGTATGTCATGGAAAAAACTTGATCAACCTCTATTAAAAAACCTACTTCATCATGGCAACAATTTTATGTCATGAAATGGTTGTCAGATGGGTTCTTGAGCCCAGCAACAATTAATTTCTTTGTACCTTTCATTTTCTTACCTCTAGTAACTATGTGAACATTATGACAAAGTTAACTATTAGGATATTGATATTTTCACTTTCTAGCAACCCATGGTACTCCAGATACAGACTTAGCGTTAAAATTTGGCAATGTTCCAATGTTGATGGGATACTTACCTTGGCAGACAAGGCTAACAGAATTCATGTAAGTGCAAAAGAACATTCTGACAGCACTTTGCAGTATGACTGAGTAGTGCTTCATTCACCAGACTCTTCTGAAAATTTTTTATAGAGAGGAAGATAGCAGAAAAGGATTATCAAACCACACACAAGCAGAATTCTGTTGCTTGGGAATAATGTTTTCCCATTTCTGACCACTTAATAGTCCTTAGAGTATTAACAGTCCTTAGAGTATTAACAGTCCTTAGAGTATTAACAGTCCTTAGGGTATTAACAGTCCTTAGAGTATTTTCTTTGTTTAATGGTTGTGCATACGAAGACACATGAATATGGATACCACTCAAGCAAAGAATTATTCTTAAGAGAATGAAAAATGTGTTGAAATGGGAAAACATTATGCCCCAGCTCAATAATTCTATTTTATAACTTTTTACTTTTTTTTTTTCATTTCAGATCCTATAGAACCCATCACGCTATAACCTTTTCAACTTATCTAGGAAGTCTAAGACAATATGACCGCTGTGAAAAACGATTTGGGAAATAAAACTTTMACAAAATAACAAACTTGTAATATAGAAATTGAAATAAATATCAAATATTGTTTTTGATTTTTATGACTGTATATTTTTCGTAAATTATGAATGACTGCTTAGGTCAACCAGCATAAAATATCATGACTCTCAGTGGCAGATCAAGGAATTTTAGAGGGGGGTGACTTTTATGGAGATTTTTTCAGAAATGCGCAGGAAAAGGCGGGCAGCTAGCCACCCCTTGATCAACCCCTGACGCAACAATAAGATTCTAAAGGTATTTTACCATGGAGTCTAGAGGTCATTTATTATTGCTCAGTATTTGCTGTTTTGACACGAAATCACTTCTTGTGTCTTTGGGGATCACCTAAACCTATCAAAAGTGAAATAGGACCTCTCCAGCACAGGGTAAAGTAACTTTCACAACAGTAAAACAACAGAGAACAATATTAATGAATTTTCTTTTATGTTTCCTTTATGTTTTTAAAGTAACGAAGTCTATATTATTTTTACTTTACTGTGCTCAAGCAAATCCAGTTGCAATGAAGAAATAGAAAACCCATGCATGTGCTGTGTGGAGTTATAAAGCACGCAGGGGTTGGCAGAACACAAGAGAAGTGTTAGGAGAAGCATGACACGTAGCAGAATGCTTCTCGACACTTCTCAAGTGTTCTGCCAATCCCTAAGTGTTTTATAACTCCACACACCACAGCAACCAAGTTTTTTATTTCTTTTATAAAATACAAATATTACATGAATGACGAAACTGAAAGTGTACAGGCGTGCTGTGTGCATGCTGTATGTAGAGCAGTTTCATTTTAATAGGCAATAGACCTTTCTTGAATTCGGTTGATTGACCACTAGACATTGGCTCCAAGTTGAGGTTTGATTTGATGTGTTAAAATAATCACTTTGATGTGTTAAAATAATCACTGTATTTTATCAAATCCAACCTCCACTTGGAACATCGTTTCTTGGTCATTCAAACAAATTTGGGGAAACGTCTATTTGAGGTAGAAATTTTGTGTAATCTAAAGTAGCAAAAATCCTAGATTTCCAGAAGTTTTGGAAGTCATAATATAATTTCAAAAAACAAAATAATAGAAAACCTTTAATTTTCGTGCTTATAGTTTACACAACTTATTTTGAAAAGATTATGCACTTGTTTTGATGAGCTTGAGGGTTGGTTTATGAAAAATTAAAATTATTTATCTTGATTTCTAGTTATTGGTATTATGTGTTGGAATGTACTTGCTCATCATTGCCATTGGCAACAGAAGGGGTGCGTACAGCATGAAGAGCATAGTTGACACTTGGGTCGTCAATGAGACTCCAGTTGTAGGTCACAGGGTTATAGCACAGACCCTGTATGTTCTTCGTTTCTAGATCAACTGAAATTGAAATAAAGAAGATATGCTTTCTTTTTCTTTGGGTTCTCTAGTTTTCCTCCCTCGGCAAAATCCAATATTCCAATTTCATCTGTGAGTTAGTGCTCTGACTTAGATCAGCCCAGAGGTTGTTTCAGGGTT